AGTTCCATGGTGCCAGCTGGATTCATCGTTGCTTAAGACAAAGGTCCGACCCCGAACTCGGCGTGCTCGCCGGACTCTCAACTGCTCGGCTGCGCGCAAGGAAGCTTGAGGCTGACTGCCTCAGGACTTGGCAGCAAGTCCCATGGCCGTTGGGTTGCGGCACACGCGTGTCCTGTCCTGCGATGTCGCGAACCCGGTGCAGGCTGACCTGTCTTTGAGATCCTTTTTAGTATCAGGAGATGTAGTAGTCGTCCGCAATGTGGCAGGGTGTGAACACGACATCAACTGTTTGCTGCGCTTGCCACGAAATCTGTACCCCCCCCAGGTTGCCGAAGTGCCGCGCCTGCCACGTCTAGTGCTGTGCAACTTTTTGCTGCTCTCCCTCGTGCTGTCCCCGTTCCGCTCGTCCCGTGCTCGTCTAATTAGTGCAGCGCTCGTCTAGGCCTGGGGCGCTCGTCTGGTGCTCGTCAAGTGCTCGTCTAGTGCTCGTCTGGCTGTCGTCGAGTGCTTTGTCTAGCGCTCGTCAAGTGCTCGTCTAGTGCTCGTCCAGTGCTCGTCTGGCGCTCAATCTAGCGCTTGTCCAGTGCTTGTCTAGTGCTCGTCTAGTGCCCGTCTAGTGCTCTGCTCTGTTCAGTGTATCATTTGGGCATTGACATATCTTTTTGGCTGCCTTGGCAGAGCGATTGTGAGGATGCCCGTGTTTTGCCAGCAGAGAGGGAGCGCTGTTGCTGTTGCTAGCTTATTTGCCTGGTTGGAGGCCAGCGTTGCTGCTTTGGAGCAGATGGCGGAGTCACGCTTGCAGGCGGGGCCAATCCAGAGCTCGTCTTGCTCGTCCAGTGCTTGTCCAGTGCGCGGGTGAGTGGGTGGGCGGGTGCGTGTATGTGTATGTGCATGTGTGTGTGTGTGTCTGCGCCGTGTGCGCGCTGCAATTTCGGTCAGGGACAGGGTGGGGAGAAGCCCGCCGGCGCAGACCTCAATCGTAAAGAGAGAGAAGGCATCAGATTGCCACGCGCTCTTGCAGCGCTGGCGCGGCCAGGCCAAGCAAAGGCCAAGGCCAAAGCAAAGGCAGAGGCGAGGGCGATTTCCACGCGCTTTTGCTTGAGCGCGCGCTGAAATTTGGGTCAGGCTTGCTCAAACCTAATCCCCAATGATTAGCGGGTTGCGGATTATGCGGACTGCGGATTATGCGGCATACGGATTAGATTGGACGGTTTGCGGATTACGGAGCATGGTTTGCATGGATTTCGCATGCTCCAACATGCGGTCGCGACCCGCAATTTGCAGCACGGATTCCGGATTAAGAAGATCGTATATGCAAGCAGCTCGGCTTGCTTTGGCCTGTGCACCGCCATGTAGTCAAAGGGAGTTTAGAGGGAACTTCCGCGCTACGGAAACTAATTTAAGAAAGGAGTCAAGACAAGGACACGCACGTGCGCGTAAATATGCGTGCGCGTGTGGCTGGGGAATAGACATGCTCTCCTCAAAAAGTACAGCCCTCTGCGTGCTGTCGAGTGTCCGGAGAGCTGAAAGCTAGCCTGTTTGCGTCGTTTCGTAGCGTGAGCCTTTCCTGCGATGAGCCGCGTAAGGGGAGAGTTTGGGCCTGTTCAGGCAAGCTGCGGCTTGTCTTTGGGCAGCCCTTGGCATCATCTGCGCGGGGCACCGCGGCGGGCGTGTGCCGACCTAGCCCGCACCACGGTCCAGCGGGCTGTGTTGCTAGTTGGCGATTGCGCTGCGCGGTTCACGCATTCACCACAATCCAGCGGCAAACCCTCAAGGCAGCCGCGCGCCAGCAAGGAGGAACAGCCAGCCAGGCCAGGGTGGCCCTGCTTTCCCCAACGAAAACGCCAAGTTCGGTGCGCGCCAAGGCAGCCAGTAGCCCGTGCTTCAGGCAGAAGCAGGTGCAGCTGGCGCTGAAGCGCGTTCGCAAGGGCGCGAGCTGTACGCTCCAGCACCCGACGTGCGCCAAGTGGGGCGATGCTGACTCCAACCTCCTGGCTGCAAATTACCATCCATGCCATGCAGAGGAAGTTGAGAGCACAGATGGTCGAGTGAGAGCAGTTCAGCCGGTCGTTGCCGGGAAGGACACTGCGTTGGTGCTAATGTCGGGCCAGCAAGTTGCCGTGACAACTCAAAGGATAGCCTGCAAGGAGCACATTGTCCTACGGATGGGAAGTGGCGAATGCTGCTAGGAGGCTTTGTGGTGCAAACACTTGGCGCGGTGGCTACGCATTGGAGCGCAGACGGCGGCAGGTACAAATATAGGACAAGATTCCTGGAGCTAGCGTGTTGCCTGGCTTCGGTCGAGAATGCCCGCGGCTATTCGCATCTCATTGACTGTTTTCTCCGGGCGGCGCAGGCAGTGAGTTTGCCCTTCGCTGCTGGCTAGCCCACTGATCCAAGCTCCACCCAGACCCCCAGGACTCACCTACAGAGGGTCCCGGTGACTGGTTCCACTGTTCCAGGTGGGGGGGTCACATTAAAGAGGGTCCAACATGAAGCGACAGCGCAGCGCAGAGGCGGAACATGCATGAATATTTGCTAGCGAGCGACCGCCAGCTCTGGTGTGTGTGTGTGTGTGTGTGTGTCTTTTTTTCGTGCGTGAGTGCGCGCGCGCTGAGACTTTGGTCAGGGCCCGAGCAAGGCGAAGCCCGCCAGTGGGGGCCTCGATCATTGCTAAGTGGCTCGTGGCCTTTGCAGCGCTGGTGTGCGGCCAGGCAAGGCCAAAGCCAAGGCAAAGGGAAAGGGAAAGGCAAAAGCAGCAGATGACTCACGCGAGGCGACGTGTTGGGTCAGTCACAGCATTGTCAGTTGTCACGAAATCAACAGCACGGATCAGACGTCCACTGGTAGCGGCGCAGGCGCGACCGGCGAAGAGGCAACGCAAAGCAAACTCAGAGGAGGGCGCCCCCCCCGACACGTCTGGTTGGGAAGCAGTTGCGGCCTGTGGCAACTGTGTGGCCAATGCGATTTGCCAGGAAAAGATGCTGGAAGAACAAGCCGAGGACAGCCAGCTGAGCACGCAGCAGTGGTCAGCCAGCTGCGGCATTGTGTTTGCGAGGTTCCAGCGGTGAGTGCCAAGGCGAAGGCAGGTCATTGGTGCATGAATTTTTGCGCCGCCGTGCGCGATAGCGCGTTCCCTGTGGCTTCCAGTGTCCATTGCTGTTTGTGCCACTCCGTTTGTGCAGGAGGCAAAGGGCGGCGCAGCCCAGAAGGTTGCCACATCGAGCTCCTGCGCTGTTCGCGTGTGCGCGCTCTGCAGCCAGACAAGCGCGCAGGTGGCTTGGTGTTGCGGCTTGGCTTCACGGCGCGGCTCGCTTGAGAGGATTGTGTGATTTTGGCACGTGGCCACTGTGACCTCCGATTGCTATAAAAAGGAAGGTTTGTCCATGAGGGCTTGATTCGCCATTGTTGATTTGCTTGCTCCCCTCTGCTGGCAAAGACAGTTGTCTCCCCTTTTTCTACGCGCGTTATGCAGAGGGAAGACAGTGCGGTGCTCTTTTTTTCTCCTTTATATTTTTGTGGGGCCCCCGAGCAAAACCGGACGGTGGGGTTTGCGGTGGTTGCACGCGTTTCTCGTACATGGTGTTGCGACATTCGGCAAGAGCCCATGCCCGAAATGTTCAGGCTCTGGCGCACAGGTGACGAGCCAGGCATAGAATCTAAGCCATGTCGAATGGGTCCTGTCGGCCAACTTGTTGCAAATTGCCACCGGTCGGTCAGCTACGGTGTTTTCATTGAGTGTTGAGCAGCGCTGTATCCGCTTATGTGGCCATTTCTTACAGCAGGGTCTGGAACACGATCTCCGCCACAGGCTATCGGTACCAGACGAAGCCGGTCACAGGGCGCGAGCGGGAACCAGCCGGCCAGCGTTGCTCGCGGTGCTCCCTATTCGTGCCTGGGCGAAGTCATCCCTTCTCCCAAAAATTCGCGCCGTAAAGACGAAAAATGGTCTCCATGCTTCTGCATTACGAGCCGGGCCTATTGCTATTCCCAGATCCAAGACAGACATGGACTTCGAGACGGAACAGGGAGCTTTGTTGCATTCAGCGTCGCTGAAGTGGTTGAATTTTGTTGAAAGAGGCAAATGGAGAACCCAGTGAGGCGAGTTGCATGGCTTTCCTGTCCGCAGCATTTGGAGTGAGTGTTGAGGGTCAACGTTTCCGACTAAGAGTTTCGTATTGTGACATTGTGCATCCAGGCGTATTGCCTTTCAGTGGGAAAGCAATCCTCCCTTTCCTGGGCTGGAGAAAGGTCCAGAGTTGACGTTTCTGCGCAAGAGTTTCGTGCTGCACAGCTCCCTTTCCATTTCTTTTTTGGGTGTTTTTGCTGCCGGCCGAGATGACCCCGAACACGTTTTGGATCTGGGGTCGGTCGGTTTAGCCTTGCTTCAGCAGTGGGCCAAACAAACTTAGCATCGTAAGCCCTATTCTCCGGGGGAAGCGGTTACAGGCAGACTGTGCAGAGGGCGCAGCAAACATTTTTCTTTCCCACGGTTTTGGAGTTGGGGAGCGCCGTGAGGCGCAGAAGGTGTTGCGGATGGATGCCGCGCAGCGGCCTGCGTGCTTGAGAGGAGTTTCAACGATGAGTCAGTTCTGGACGACTGTTGCGCACGCTCCCTTCAAAAGGCAGGTGCTGAGTCAGCTGAAGCAAGAGAGAGGAACAGATTGTAGTCTGGCCTACCAGCACCTGGCGTCCCAGCAGGGCGCGGTCTCTATGACGGAAGAGGCGCCGGGGATCTATTCAGTGCTCTGAAGAAGTACTCTTATTGGTACCCCGCAGGTTCGAAGAACCCTGAGATAAACGCATCTCGGAACTCTCACAGGGGTCCTGCATTGCAAGACGCTGTTGCTTGGACTGGCGCTTTCTTCTCATGTTTGTTAGTGCGCAGCGTGTGCAGCTGCCTCTTCACGAGAAATGCAAAGCGTTGGCTCTCATTCGTTCAAGTGCATAAGCTGAAACGGAACGCCAAGCGCCAATGCTCGGGCTTGAGAGCGTGGCAGGTGGCCTTGACATGGTCGTCCAGCATGTACGACGTGTTCTCCCTGTCCGATTTCGAGGCATTGTATGGGCCGGCGCCCGTGGAGCAGATCCGGGAGCGTGTCCTGCCGGACGGTCGGGCTGAGACACTGGTCATCAAGTTCGCCACGGAGTTCAATGTCCCGTGCCTTGGGCGGAACATGCATCGCCTACTCATGCCTGTTTACGTTTCCTCCACCTAGCTGGTAAGCTTCCAAATTATTTGAGGTCCACGGGGCAGTGAAACAGCCGAAAAAGGGCCGCGGGGTCCCAGCTGGAAGGCTCTAACTGCGATTCCCGCTGCCCACCTCCACGGGCGCTTGGCCTCTTGACTACTCTGTCCAAAGGAACTTTTTTCGGGCTGATACATTCAGAGTTTCTCCGGACGCCTTCAGCCTTCGGGGCGTCTCGCCCAGCGTGAGGCAACTCCGTTTTGGCTTGTGACGCGTTTATCGCTTGTCTTTTGCTCCTTTGTTCCTTTGCTGACTCTTAGCGCTGTCTGTGGCAACCCGCCCTTGTCAGAGTCACAGTGGCCAATGCCTGTCAGGGCGTCTTGCTTTTACTTGTGAAAGCAAGGCGCGCTGACACGCGCCTTCACCTGCTGAGGCCTGGCGCGCTGAGGGTATCTGGAAGCTCGACGAACAGCTTCAAGCTGTGCAAGTCGGAGTCGGAGGGCGCGGATGCAGTGTTTGCGGCGCTGAGGCCGCTTGTCCGAAATTGATGAGTGAAGCAACAGCTCCATTTTTCCCGAGGGCATGTGCGGTGTACATCTGTCAGCTTATCCTGTGAGAGCTTCAGCTGCGCTGACGCTTCATGCGCACTTCGGCTTGCGTGTTTTCATACAAGCGCTGTGTCACTGAGACAATTTTGCGGGGAGTCGTGCGTTGGGCAGCCCCGGTTTGTAGGGTTACGGCCAAGAATTGGCCTATTTCTGTGAGATTCTGCTGACATCCTGGGAAGGCTTTGCAAACACTTTGTCCAAGGGTTCGCAGAACCCCGTCTGTTTGTGAAGTGATTTTTCAGCGTTTGTCAGATATCGGCCTGGCGCGGCCCACAGCCTTGGCACGTATACTGACGCCCTTTACTGCACGACCAAGCCATGTTGGCAGTAAGAGAAATTAGCCTGAGCTGTTTTGTGTTTGCGCGGGTCCCTATCTTGGAGACAGACACGTACGGGCATGGCCATAGGTAAATTGGGCAAGGGTACGGCTGCGCGGGGGTCGAGACAGCAAGAGGAAACTTGGCCTTGGCCTGCTCAGGCAAGGGGCGCTGCAGATGGCGCCGTCATTGCCTGATGCAGCTGCGGTCTGCCCCGAGGCAGCTCTGGCGCGGGCTGCAGCAGATGTGCGCTAACTACGCCCACTCCAAGGCCCGATGGGCTGCTGGGCGCGGCTACTTGCTGGTTGTTCTTAGTGGCCACTTGGTACGAGCCAAGCTTTCCTTGCGCCCCTTTGGGTCGTGCCTCTCATGTTTTACTTTACTCATATTCTTCACCGATGTGAGCAGCAGCCTACGCAGTTGCTGACCAGTAGCATTTTACTTGCAGCGATGTACGTTGCGCGCGTTCGCAGGACTGGCTAGCTTATCAGCTGAGGGGCTGGATCGAGTGAGGCGCAGCTTTTCCTGCGAGCAATGTCAGTTCGGTGTGCTAGCAAGCGTGGTCGCCGCCCCACTGGCTGCTAATTTGCGGCGCGATCCAATCCAGCCTTGGCTCTTACCATGAAAAGCCCTGAGCGCAAACTTGTAAATATTTGGTTAAACACACTTCCAAACAAGGGTCTGTCCAGAACACTGGTTCGTGGTAAAAGCTTTCAGTGAGAACTCACGCATTCGCTTTTGCAATTTGCAACCAGGGGCGCCCTAGCCAATAGCCTTCGGCGCATGATCCTGCGCTGTGTGCTCATTAGCAGTGTGATCCAGCCCAGTCTTAGCTCTTACCGCAAGCACTTCTCAGTGTAAACTTGTAAACACTATTTGGGATAAACATACTTTGAAACAAAGGTCTTTTCAGAACACTCGTTTCTGCATGTGTTCGTGGTGAGAGCTTTCAGTGAGAACTCACACAGGCGCTTTTGCAACCGTGTTTCTGTGTGTTCTCGGCTGCTGCTGCTGCTGCTGCTGCTAGCCAGCAGGGCCAGTAGCCTATGTCAGCTTCGGTGTGCTAGCAAGCGTGGTCGCCGCCGCGCTTGAGAAAACCTGAGTGCAAACTTGTAAACACTATTTGGGAAAACAGACTGCCGGGAAAAGAATGAAAATAAAGCTTCCGGCAGTGCTTCACAGGCCAGCTCGCAGTGATGCGCCATTGGCAAAGTCACGGCGGTCGCCGTTTCTTGCATGGCACAATGCCAGCAGCAGAGCCTCCAGTGTCTGCAAAAAAACGTGGACCTGGCACTGGCATGCCGGCTAATTCGATCATGCATTGGAGTGGCGCGCAAGGCCACATCTACAGTTTGCAATGGGCCACAGAATGTGCTGGAGCTAGGGAGAACTAGCTCATGCTATCACTTGGCACAATGCCAGCAGCAGAGCCTCCGGTGTTTGCAATAAACGCACTGGCATGCTGGCTAATTCGATCGTGCAATGGACGCGTCCTTCGGCCCGCCCACCCGAGGCTGATCTGCTTTGGCATGTGCTCGGAGGCCAGAGACTTAAACAACACAAAACAATTGAGTCTCTCTCAAAATAGGCTGACCTTTTTGGCGACTATGTGCCTGTGTGACTTTCCTCTGTCGGCTTACCCGCCCACCCCCCCCCCCCAGGCTCACTATCTCTTGTGGTGAGGTGTCCTCCTGCAAGAGATAATGCCTCCCTCCACGTGTAGGAACCCCACCCTCAGAGCCGCTGTAGGCTGCATGTGTCTTATGCCCCGCACTCCTGTGAGACGTTGCTGTTGCGGTTTTTTTTTCTGGGTCTTGTACCGCCTGAACGACTGCAGTTACATATGTTTCGTGTGTTTTCGGTCTCAACAGAGAGGGCAGCTGACACCCGGAACCCTAATCCCTAAACCAGACTTCCAGAACCCTCGATCCTAAACCCTAGGAAACCCTTACCAAGTTGAGGTTGTAGTACCTGTGGCAGACCAGCTTGCTGTTTACCTGTGCCTTGCATGTGAACTGAGCATGTGACGTTTCTTTTTCTTGTTCTACGCAGCCATGTCTTCTTGTGTGTGTACGTGTGCCACAGGGCAGGCTCTTCCTGCAGCCCTGCGCGTGCTCAAATACCGCGCACTGAGCCATGGCCCGGCCGGAGCCATGGAAAGAGCTGGCCCGCGACACATTGCCGCCTGAGAAAGGCAGTGAGTGCCGCAGGCACCTCCACCTGTGGAGAGACTTCGTGCGGCATTTGCTGAGCAGCAGAGGCATCATCGGAGCCGTGGATAGGGCCGTGGTCGGCGACACCTGCAAGGCATGGGCCACATGCACAGAGCACGCTGACTTGCAGGGGGCCAAAGATGCAAGAGGGAGGCAGGCTCGGCACCATACCTTTTACATCACTTTGACACAGAAGATCAGCTTGGCAGATGACCCAGAGTGGGAAGCTTGCGTCTATGAGCGGGGCACATGTGCTGGAGCTACTGCTCGTGTTGTGCGCGGGCAGACCGTGCGTCAGAGGCTGACTGCGCAGCGCATCGCCCATCTGACGCCTTCGCAAGGCTTGGCGTCCCTGCTCGCAGATGGCACGGATCGCAGAGATTTGCCTGGATTGCGGACAGTAGAAGCTGCCAGGCGGCGTCTCAAAGCCGTCCGCGCCAAAAGACGAGGGGATGCCAAAGCGCATTGTTCGCCCACCGTGCTGAGGCTGGTTGTGGAGGCTCGGAACTCCTCCAATTCTGGGGTGCATTATCGAGCTCTGCAGACCGAGGGCGTTGCCGCGACCGTGTTCATTTTGGAGGAAGAGGTCAGGGCAATCAGAAAGTGGGTGGATGAGGGGGGCAGCCTGATCTGGTCGGAGGACGCAACCTACAAGATGAACTGCTCCGGTTGGTGCCTGAGCACTATAGCCTGCCCCGCGCTCCATCTCACCGGTGGGCTTTGGAGGACGACGGAGCTTTCATTGGGCCATGCCTGGACCCCGAAGGAGAGCGCGGCTTTCTGTGGGGACATCAAGGAAGCGATCCTGGGCATCTACGAGGAGCGCGGGCTGGACCTCCGAAGGCACGTGCAGGCTGCCTTCTACGACAACTCGCCCGCACAAAGAGCCGCCCATCGCGCGCAGCTCCAGGGTGTCCCCTACCGCAGGGATCTTCGGCATCAGGTTGCAGCTTGCCGGCGCAGGAAAGGGCCTTTGTCGCGAGGATTGAGTGCTTGGGCGCAGAAGTCGGCCTTCTACCCGCCGTTGGTTTTCGACCTTGCCGCGCAGGCCCTCCTGGACCGCCTGCGGGTGAAGGAAGAGTATGACTGGATGTCTTACTTGACTGACGTGGCCTTTTCCAAGCAGGGCCAGCTGTGGTCTGCTGAGTGGCAGTGCTGCATAGCTGTCGCCCGGCCAGGGTTTACGCCTGCAAGCGTGGGCCAATCCAAGGAGTCGCAGTGGGCCGCTTTGAAGCGGTGCACTGGCAACCTTGCCAACACGGATCTGGCAACGGCTGCGCCGGAGGTGGAACTGGCTCTGCGCGCGCTGATGCACGAGCGGAACACCCAGGCTGGCGGGGACTTGGTGGCCACTTTGCGCTCTGCTCCAGATCGGCCTGCGCATCAACTGCTTTCGGGGAGCTCTCGGCCAGCATCCCGCGCGGAGGACCCTTTTCTGAGCTCTGTTTTGCTTGTGTGTTGGTGACTGGCGGTAGCGGGGCCGCAAGTTGGGGCCACAGGGGTCGCTGCCAAGTACGCTTGCTTTTGTCGAACCCTTGCCTTTTGTCGAACCCTACTGCGGCAGGACAGCATGGGCCATCAGCAATGGGCGAAATCGGCTTGGCAGTTTGCGCAGAGGGCCCCGTGGAACTTCCACCGAATCGATCAGGAGCTGATGGACTTTGACAGACACTATGTCATGTGGAAGTACGAGCCAAGCCACCAGGTGGACCAGAAGACAGCTGAGGCCTTTGCTGCTTTCATGAGGGCTGAAACCAAGCCAGAAATCCTCTGCGCCGCCAAAAAACTTCACATTGTCAAAGATGATGGCTCCGTGTCCTTGGCCATGCTGGAA